ATGTGTTCTTGTGCACTGTCCTTGTACAAATAAAAACATACTATATCATATAAACACTTATAATTAAATCATAAGTGAGTTCTCTTACAGTTATTTTCTAATCCAAGGTTTATTTGGTTTGTACAGTTTAGTGAAATGTGCGCTGAAACTTCTCTGTACTTTTCTGTAACTTTTCTGGTGGGGGGTTATGTTATTGCTTTGTCTGGAATGTTTCACAGTATGGCATTAAATCTTTTATCTTCATGGAAACCAAACCGGACCAAGTTACGGGTCAGATCTGCGGAGAGGCAACCCCGCTCACAGTCAGAATGTCTGTTTTTCTCAGTATGTTTGAGCCATAAAACTACAAAATTAAATAAATGTATAGTAAATGCTTTTTAATGTCATACTGTGGAACATTCTGAGCAGAGCAAGGCCAAGCAGGTGATGGACTCTCCACCAGAAAAGTTACACAATGCACCTTTAAATCCAGGTGGCAGGGATGGGCAAACTACGGCCCTACGGCCCTTTAAACCTTTTAATCCGGCCTGCCGAACTTGAATAATAAATAATAATAATAAATAATAAACCTTGTTAATGTTTTATTTTTCCTGCATTTCCGGCATTTCCCAGTAGACGGCGCACTATATATACATTGAGGTGCGGCGTCTTCTGTTGGCCGCAATGCTTTATGGGAAAGTATTGACAGGAGTCATTTTCAGGCGGTGTATTCGGACCATGAATGAGGTACAAGTGTTCAAGACATAAGACTACACTAATTCTCCTTAAAGTATGTTCAAATTAAACTCAGTGCTACACTGTATTGTCCTTTGAAATATGATGAATAGTGTAAATGCATTACAACAATTTTGTGTTAAGTTGTCTTAAATATCAAGCTCAGTTTCCTGACATATAATTCAGTCAGAGAGGAGTGGCCACCTGTGATTTATGCCAATGGAGGAGCTGTAGAGCCAGTGCGAAGCACCCCCAGGTTCCAAAATGGCCGCCTATTGAAAATGATGTGCTGAGCTCAGTGGCGCATGATCCCAAACTATCCTAGCATGGCTAGTTACTTCCGGTGGCTGTGGGCCGACCGAGCATGCGCAGTAGTGCTCTTTTCTCCCACGGGCACACGCGAATGCACGCGACCACATGCACGGAGCGCGGGCTCGTGTATCACGTGATCGTTTTGACCAATCAGAGCGAGAGGAGCTAGAGCGGCGCAGGAGCTAACGAATATAGTGTTTTTTTAAGACAACTGAAGGATTTTGAGCGAGAAAAAGTTTATGATCTAAAAATAGGTAAAAATCGCCAACAAATCCGATATTTTTGAAAGCTGTAGATGACCTGTCAGACGAACACGAGCAGTTTGTGATTACATTGCCTCTATGAGAAAAATCTTGTCTCGGCCCATGAGATTTTTTCTGCTGAAGTTCCAGTGAGTGACACTACGTCAACTGAAGGCAGCTACAAGCAGCAATACTGTATCCAGTTATTTAGTGCCCGGTGACCTTATGCAGCCATTCAAATTGACCCACAGAATTTGAGCAAATTACAATAAATAAACCGTACTGCTGTTTTATCTTCCTTGCATTTCCGGCGTTTCCCGGTAGATGGCGCACTATATATATACGTCTTCTGTTGGCCGCAATGCTTTATGGGAAAGTATTGACAGGAAATCATTTCAGGCGGTGTATTCGGACCATGAATGAGGTAGAAGTGTTCAAGACATAAGGCTGCACTGTTTCCACTTAAACTCTGTGTAAATCAAAATCATAATATTCATATTTCCTATATTAGAAAATCCTTAAAGGTTTGGTTAGACTGCGCATTATATATAGCACGGTGTATGTGATGTCTGGGACACATGTTTGCCTTTGGTGTGTAGTGTGGCAGACTTCATTTCGCTTTCCATGAGTTCTGGAACTTACATGTCTGTAAGTTAGCAGCACGTCCTACATGAGAGTAATACGACTGCAACGGAGCCGGGCTCTGAACGTCTTCTGTCCGGCCCTTCAGTCAATTTTAGAACCCTATGTGGCCCCCGAGCCAAAAAGTTTGCCCAACCCTGGTGTAGAATCTTAACTTTTCTGGTGGAGAGTCCATCATCTGCTTGTGTCAATGGAAATGTTATTGCATTGCTTAGAACAGGGGTGGGCAAACCTTTTTGTCTCGCAGGCCACATTAGGGTCCTAAAATTTGACTGAAGGGCCGGACATGACAGGTTAAGAGCACGATTTCATTACATTCATATAAATGTAGGACTTGCACTACACACTGTATCTTCCTCGCGAAAGATACAAAGCACATAAACATGTACAGACCTGATCCACTGCACACCACAGAATGCGTATCACGAGCTAAAAATTTTCAACGCTGATTGATTAACAGCTCAAGAACAGCGCTCACACCACACAGTCACACGCAGTAAAACCAAACTATGTGACATTGTATGAATAGATAACCTGAACAAACAGCATATTTGTTTCCCATGTGCTTGACTTTTACCAACCTAAAAGGGAAGCAGTGCAGCCTTATATCTTGAACACCACTATTTCACTCATGGTCTGAATAACTCCTGTAAGAACACTTTCCCATAAAGCATTGCGGCCAACATAATACGCCGCACCTCAATGTATATATAGTGCGCCATCTACTGGAAAACACCAGAAATGCAGGAAAATAAAACATCAACAAGGTTTATTATTGCAGTTTGGCGAGCCGGATTAAAAGGTTTAAAGGGCTGCATATGGCCCCTGGGCTGTAGTTTGCCCACCCCTGGCTTAGAATGTCCACAATAGAGGCTTTGCACCGTCACGTGACCCCTATAGCAACGGTACCTACGCCGCCATGACACCGGGCACACTATGTCATTGACTTCAGCAGCATCAGAGAAACATGGGCAGGTTTTGTTGTGTATTTGGTTGTTCTAGACGCTCTGAAAGAGATAAGATGAATTGTTTCTTCACTGTTCCTCTGGAAATGACTCATCAGGAGCTCAAACAAGGGAATTATGGAAAAAAAGACGCGGATTATAGCAGCAAAAACAAACCACAAACAGATTTCCAATGGTACCATCAAGACACCCGAAGTTTCATCAAGGTATTTGCTATTTAAATTGTTTCATAGTTTATTTAATGAAAGAAGCACATGACTGAACTAAAATTTCATTAATTTATCCAGGAAAACCCGCACTAGTTTACGATTCAACGAACCCACACTGGGCTCCTGTGATCAACATGGAGCACGAGTCGAAGAGTCTGTGAGCCGAACCTCGAAAGAATCGGCCATGAAAAGATCCTCGTGAACGTTAGAAAGATCCACTCACAAAAAGTGATTAATTCTAGAAGACATAGTTGTGGATAAGCAAGACAATAAGAAAACATGGGTCCTACGATGAGTGACATGTTTATATGTGCGCTGGAAGATACAGTTTCTACTGCCACTCACACTGCAAATGTTTTCTTTTTCATTTTAGTTCAATAAATGTGCTTCTCTCATTAAATAAACTATGAAACAATTTAAAGAGCAAATACCTTGATGAAAGTGACATGAGTGTGTCTTGATGGTACCACAGGAAATCTCTTCGTGGTTTATGTTCTCTAAACATAAATCCCGTTTTTTTTGTTTTTGTTTTTATAATTCCCTTGTTTGAGCTCCTGATGAGTAATTTCCAGAGGAACAGTGAAGAAACGAATTGTTTTATCCCGTTCAGAGCGTCTAAACCAGGGGTGCTCACACTTTTTCATCATGTGAGCTACTTACAAAATGACCAAGTCAAAATGATCTACCTAATACAAAGCCAAGCAAACTGCACTGAAACACTCTGTGCCCCTTTTTTGGACCCTCCCCCACAGTTTGAGAACCCCTTCTTTAAGAGAACTTCCTCTGGCACTTTACACAAAACTGTGAAAAAAGTGAAGGAAGATTTTTAAACCTGTTTTTTAAAGTTCCAAACTGGAGTTGGCATTCTTTTCTGGTTTTGCAGTGATATTTACCAGCCTCTGCACATTTACCAAACCAAACGCACATCGTGACAAACACAGATGCATTTGTGCACTTTTGTTAGACAAACTTCAGCCAAATGTGGCAGTAGGTCTGTTCTGTAGATCCGCACTATGCTGTAGACCTGCTTTGTGCCAACACTGGAACACAAATTTAGACTGGTTTTTGCTTCACGTTTGGTCTTGTTCTTCTAATCAGCCGCACTGTGGGAGGGGCTTGTGTTCGCTGTACGCAGGAAGGAGCGAGAGCGTGAAAAGGCGAGGGGCGGCGTGCTGACGTGAGGCAGATGGACAGGTAGGATGTTTAGGAAGTTGAACCTGCCCTGTGATGCACGCTGGTACACGAGGACACACGCTGTCGCAGACGAGCCGTGCATAGGGAGCGTGTGTGTTTTGTGATGTGTCGTAGAGTCTCCGCGGGTTTCAAATGAGCGCACAGGCTGCAGAGAGACGCCCCACACGCTCCTGCACCCGCTACAAGTTTATTACCAACAGCAGCGGCCGTAATGAAATATGATTGCACTTGTTGAGTGTCAGACCTTGAGTCCGAGACGAGTACTAAGACATGGCGATCTACCCACACGACATATTGAGCACCCCTGATCTGGAACAACCAAATACACAACAAAACCTGCCCATGTTTCTCTGATGCTGCTGAAGTCAATGACATAGTGTTGCCCGGTGTCATGGCGGCGTAGGTACCGTTGCTATAGGGGTCACGTGACGGTGCAAAGCCTCTATATGGCATTAAACTAATAATATCTTCACAAAGACAAGCAGGTGGCGCCATCGGGTCAAGTTACAGGTCAGATCTGTGGAGAGGCAAATCCGCTTACAGTAAGAATGCATATTTGTGAATGTATTTCTGAGCAAAAAAAAACACCTTTTAGAAAGAAACATTTAAAGTACACTCCTGGAACATTCCTGGCAAAGCATTAACATCTCCATGGAGACAAGCCGCTCGCGTACCTTCCCACCAGTAAAGTTACACAGTGCAGCTTTAAACGTTTGACTGACCGGTGAGCAGCACGTAGCTGAGCTCTCTCCCCGCCGCTCTGACGATGGGCGTGTCGTTGAAGCGGATGAAGGTGATCACCACGGCGACGGTCGCCAGGATGCCGAGCAGGGCCAGCGAGGCGGGCACCAGGGCCCAGGGCGAGTGCCACTCCAGCTTTATGATGGGGGTGGGTCTGCAGGCCGTGCGGTTGGGCAGCGGGCGCATGTGGGTGGGGCACGTCTCACAGGTGAACTCGTCCAACTGGTACTGGTATCCATCACACAGCTGACGGACAGACGGAGGGAGAGAGGGAGGGAGAGAGGGAAGAGGGAGAGAAGGAGAGAGAGAGGGAGAGTAGAGGGAGAGAGGGGGAAGAAGAGAGGGAACAGAGGATGGACAGGTAGGGGAGGGGGAGAGAGAAAAAGAGAGAGAGAGAGGAGAGGAGGAGAGACAGGAGTGAGAGAGAGAGGAGTAGAGGTTGGGAAAGGGAGAGAGAGAGGAAGAGGAGGGAGAGAGAGGGGGAAGAGGGAGATGAGTAGAGAAGGGGAAAGAAGGGAGGGAGAGAGAGAGGGGAAAGAGAGAGAAAGGAGGATGGAGAGGTAGGGGGAGAGAAAAAGAGAGAGGGAGGGAGAGAGGGGGGAAGAAGAGAGAGAGGGAGAGTAGAGGGAAAAAGAGAGAGAGGGAAGAAGAGAGGGAACAGAGGGATGGACAGGTAGGGGAGGGGGAGAGAGAAAAAGAGAGAGAGAGAGAGAGGAGAGAGACAGAGAGTGAGAGAGAGAGAGGAGTAGAGGTTGGGAAAGGGAGAGAGAGAGGGAGAGAGGGGGGAAGAGGGAGAGGAGTAGAGAAGGAAAGAAGGGAGGGAGAGAGAGAGGGGGGGAAAGAGAGAAAAGAGAGATGGAGAGGTAGGGGGGAGAGAAAAAGAGAGAGGGAGGGAGAGAGAGGGAAGAGGGAGAAGAGTAGATGTAGGGAAAGGGAGAGGGAGAAAAAGAGGGAGAGAGGAGGAGAGAGGGAAGAAGAGAGAGAGGAGGAAAGAGGGAGAAAGAAAGAAGGATGAACAGATAGGGGAGGGGGAGAGAGAGAAAAAGAGAGAGAGAGAGAGAGACAGAGAGAGAGAGAGAGAGAAGAAAGGAGGGACAGGGGTAAGAGGAGAGGGAGAAGGAAAGAGGGAGAGAGAAATGAGGATGGAGAGGTAGGGGGGAGAGAAAAAGAGAGAGAGAGAGAGAGAGGAGGGAGGAGGAGGAAGAGGGGGGAAGAAGGAGAGGAGTAGAGAAGGGGAAAGAAGGGAGAGAGAGGGGGGAGAGGAGAAGAGAGCGAGGGAAGGAGAGAGGGTGAGAAAGAGAGAGAGAAAGAGAGAGACAGACAGGGAGGGACAGAGAGAGAGGATGGAAGGAGAGAGGAGGAGGGGGGGAGAGGAGTAGAGGTAGGGAAAGGGGAGAGAGAGAGAGAAAGAGGGAGAGTGAGGGAGAGAGAGAGAGAAAGAGGGAGAGTGGGGGAGAGAGGGGAGGAAGAGAGTGGGAGGAGGAAAGAAGGAGAAAGAAAGGAGGATGGACAGAGAGAGGGAGGAGGAGGGAGAGGTAGGGGAAAGGGGGAGAGAGAGAGAGAGAGAGAGAAAGAGAGAGGGGAAGGGAAGAGAGGAGGAAAGAAGGAGAGAGAAAGGAGGATGGAGAGAGAGAGGAGGAGGGAGAGAGAGAAAGAGAGAGGGAGGGACAGAGAGAGAGGTGAAGAGAGGGAGAGAGGTAGGAAGAGGGAAAGACAAAGAGAGAGGGGGAGAGGAGAAGAGAGCGAGAGAAAGAGAGAGAGAGACAGGGAGGGAGGGACAGAGAGAGAGGATGGAAGGAGAGAGAGAGAGAGGAGGAGGGAGAGAAAGAGAGAGAGGTGAAGAGAGGGAGAGGTAGGAAGAGGAAGAGACAAAGAGAGAGGGAGGGAGGAAGGGAGGGGGAGAAAGAGAAGCCAGTAAGATACATTTTTGTGATTTTTGTGAGTTCGTAAACTTGCCGACTACAAACTCAACTCAGCCGGGGTTCAGACCAAACACAGAGCAGCAGCGTCTTTGAGAAGCCAAAACTGAACCACCCAAACGAACCAAAACAAACATGGCGGCGGCACGGAGGGACATACTTCAACCTATTTTAGTGGAAATACAAACAACGAAATATAAAAAAAAAATTTAAAAACACACGCAGAGGATGGAGGGTGTTTTGAGTATTAGTGTTAAGACGTTAAAGACGGGAACAAAAGTTTGATTTCTCTGGAAGCAGGCCTGTTCGTCATGACATTCTGCTTTCATCAAGAGATATTCCTGATAAATGTGACTCAGGGAAACTCAGTGGACTCAAATCAGCGCGTACACAGGACAGACCAGCAGTGTTGGGAAGGTGACTTTTAAAATGTATTCCCCTACAGATTACAGATTACACACCCCAAAATGTAGTTTGTAACGTAATCCATTAAATTACTTAAAGTGAGTAATGTAATCTGAATACTTTGGATTACTTGTTTTGCTTGTGGAGAAGCAAAGACGAGGATATTGTAACATAAGATGTTTAGTTCTGGTTTAGTCCTGGTTTTAGACCTGGTTTTAGACCTTGGTTTAGACCTGGTTTTAGACCTGTTTTAGACCTGGTTTTAGACCTGGTTTAGACCTGGTTTTAGACCTGGTTTAGACCTGGTTTTAGACCTTGTTTAGACCTGGTTTTAGACCTGGTTTAGACCTGGGTCCTGGTTTTAGACCTGGTTTAGACCTGGTTTTAGACCTTGTTTAGACCTGGTTTTAGACCTGTTTTAGACCTGGTTTTAGACCTTGTTTAGACCTGGTTTTAGACCTTATTTAGACCTGGTTTTAGACCTGTTTTAGACCTGGTTTTAGACCTTGTTTAGACCTGGTTTTAGACCTGGTTTTAGACCTGGCTTTAGACCTGGTTTAGACCTGGTTTTAGACCTGTTTTAGACCTGGTTTTAGACCTTGTTTAGACCTGGTTTTAGACCTGGTTTAGACCTGGTTTAGTCCTGGTTTTAGACCTTGTTTAGACCTGGTTTTAGACCGGTTTTAGACCTGGTTTTAAACCTGTTTTAGACCTGGTTTTAGACCTGGTTTAGACCTGGTTTTAGACCTGGTTTAGACCTGGTTTTAGACCTGGTTTAGTCCTGGTTTTAAACCTTGTTTAGACCTGGTTTTAGACCTTGTTTAGACCTGGTAATCCACTTATTTTAAAAAAAAGTAACTGTAATCCAATTACCACTCACTGAAACAGTAACTGTAACTGAATACAGTTACTCATAATTTGTACTCTGATTATGTAACTCCGGTACATGTAATCTGTTACTCCCCGACACTGTATACCAGTCTGGTCTTAGCAAAGTTCTTTTTTTTTTCCAGGTAGCAGAGTAAATCGGCTCTGACCGTTGAGCCGCTGCTGCCTGGTTTACAGATCTGTATGTCTAATCATATAATGCATTAGTATAGCATCAGATTTCTTTCAAAAATATCATTTATCACTAAAATGTACCACCAATAAAAGATATTGATGACTTTAATGGCTTCGTTCTTTTTGAGACATTTTATACGTGTAATGTAACCCTCCGTTTCCGCTCCTGTCTCACATGATGCATGGGCTTACTGCCACTCGCAATTTCCTTTTCATATTTTAAAATTACTTACAACTACACATAGTATTTATCTTGTGCAGAGTCACAGACAGATGTATTGTAAATTTTGCAGTGGATTGGGTTGCCTGTCTGCGTTTCTGTGAGGAGGTTGTGGGTTGAATTTCCGTATGGAGTAAGAAAGCTTTCAGAAATATTTGTGCGCATAGAATAGAAATCCGTGCGTATTTGGGAAATCCGTGCATATTTGGCTGTAGTTGTGCATAAAATAAATATTCGAATGAGTCCAGTCGTACATAAAATATATTGTGTGTATTTTATCCGTCAGAATACGAACTGAAAAGTTACGACGTCAAGAATTACAATCACGAAATGAGATGAACTGTCAAAAATATGTCATCACTTCACAGGCATTATTTATTGAGCGGAAGAAACATCGATCACGATCGAGACTGCGCATGCTTAAAGGTTGTATAGAGGATTTTTTAAGGGAAGACAAATACAGCAACACTCTTTTCAAATGTTGTGCATGCGTGACACCACCTTCCTCCTCCACAGCTCCATCAGTAGAAACATCTCCTCCTCCCGCCTCTTTACTCTAGAAATCACACTTGTTTACAGCCGGTGCGTGTTCAGAATTACTGTTGAAGTTTCCTGTCTAGAAATAATTCAGCGACCGATGCATCAGTTTTTAGACCCTCAATTTGCTTCATTCGCGCAATCATTGGAAGGAACCTCGAAGAATCACCTCAGTTTGTCTCTGCTCCTTTTCTCCTTCTTCTCTTCTTCTTTCAGCGACCTCAAAAACGGACTTTCTTTTGCGGCGAACTGGTCGTGGATTCTCGTCCGACATCGCAACAAACTTCGTGCGAACTGCGAGGAAGCGACAGTTTGAAAAAGTCTCTAAGAACCGCCGCATAAACCACATAATCCCAGCGCGCCGACGAGTCAGTTACACTAGAAACGTAGAGAGTTCGATTGACAACCTGACAGCCAATAGAAAATGAGGGAGCCTCGTTTTCTATTGGCTGATGTTTATCTGGCCTCAACACGTCCACAGTTGGTAGATTTTCTTTTTTTTTTTTTTTTTTTGGTCATCATAATTACAAGGCTGCTGCGTCTCTGTATCGGTATTTTAAACTTTCACTGACAATTTGAAACAAAAAAAAAATCCTCCATACAACCTTTAAACAACGCCTCTGATCTGCCGTCACTAACCAGATGTGAAAACTGGCTCCACAATTTACAGCCTCTGTATCGTAGACAAAACTGAGCTCTTCATGTGACAAATTTTGGAACATGAAAATTATGAATTTGACGAGTTTTGTATCTATGAATCTCTGCATTGGTTTTAAAATAAAATGTGAAATGTTTGGGGATCAAAAAAAAAAAAAAGGACAAACTGTCGCTGGATTTCTTGTTCCTTGGAAAATCCTCTATACAACCTTTAAATACACAGTTTAGAGGGCTTTTTCCATTAAAAAGATATAACATTTAGAATTGTTAATCGCTAAGAAAACTGTCTTAATTTTGCATCATTTTGAAACCCGTGCACAGTAGTTTATACATAGTTACCTCACAGTGCCAGCAGCAGGGCACCCCCTTCACCATCTTCTTCCTCTCTCCGGGCTGACAGGGGAAACTGCAGATGGACTCAGGCAGGGACTGGTCTCCTCCGGACCACTGCATCTCCTCCAACTGTCAGGAAAAACAGGAAAACACCACTTATAGCCATAACTTAAATACCACAGCACCATGGCAACGGTTATTACTGTATAGATACTGTATTAGCACGCAATTTAACATTTTGACCTCAAAGTTGATATGTCAGAAGCAAGAAAAATAGCTCCTGCATTGATTTAGTCATTTTAAAGGTGCACTATGTAACTTTTCGGTTTGGCGTTCAATGAATATGTCACTGCTCTGTTTTAAATGTTCCACAATATGACATTAGATTACCATACATTTATTGAGTTACAGGTGTTTTTAAAATACCTAGAAGAAAAGGCGTTCTGATTGTGAGTGGGCTTGCCTCTCCATAGATCTGACCTGTAACTTGGAGTGGTTTGCTCTCCATAATGATAGAAAGGTTTAATGCCATATTGTGAAACATTCCAGACAAAGAAATAATAACATCTCCATGGTGAAAGACATTAGACGGACCCTCCACCAGAAATATTACACAATGCACCTTTAGCTTATTGGTCCTTTTGATGCTCTTCTCCTACGATGCGAACTGTGAAATAAAGCCATCTGTCACTTTTTGAGATGTGTCACTTTCTCACTGAACAGTTCAATTGAGAGACATAGAGCAGATCTCAGGTGTATTCTATTATCCTTATTCATCAGTCAGTTTCACTTCCTGGAAATCATCAGACCGCGCAGCTTTAGGATTCGTTCGCTCAACAATAGGCAGGTACTTTTTTTATTTAACCAATCGCTGCAGTTTGATCTTGATGTATGTAATGCACCAAATCCCGTAGGAACAAGGGCAATGACGTCTTTCCCCTTGATAAAATTCACCAAACATTCTCTTTGTTCCGGCTTTAAATCCTCGATCTCGGGAATAGTTGCCAAGACAGAATGTCTGTCTTTGTCTGCATCCATCTCGACCGCGTTGTTTACTGTTGTGCTGTAATAAAAGGGACCCAGACAGGTGCTTGAGTTTGATGTCATGGCTTCACAGCTCTTCAACTCCCAGGTTTTTTGCAAACCGTCTAGTGCAGGGGTGCTCAATACGTCGATCGCGATCTACCAGTCAATCACCAAGGTCGTGTGGGTAGATCGCCGTGTCTTAGTACTTGTCTCAGACTCGATCGCGTTTGGACTCGGTCTTGTCTCTCACTCAAGGTCTGACACTCAACAAGTGCAATCATACTGTATTTCATTACAGCCGCTGCTGTTGGTAATAAACTTGTAGCGGGTGCAGGAGCGTGTGGGGCGTCTCAGTGCAGCCTGTGCGCTCATTTGAAACCCGCGGAGACTCTACGGCGCATCACAAACACACGCGCTCCCTATGCACGGCTCGTCTGCGACAGCGTGTGCCCTCGTGTACCAGCGTGCATCACAGGGCAGGTTCAACTTCCTAAACATCCTACCTGTCCATCTGCCTCACGTCAGCACGCCGCCCCTCGCCTTTTCACGCTCTCGCTCCTTCCTGCGTACAGCGAACACAAGCCCCTCCCACAGTGCGGCTGATTAGAAGAGCAAGACCAAACGTGAAGCAAAAACCAGTCTAAATTTGTGTTACAGTGTTGGCGCAAAGCAGGTCTACAGCATAGAGCAGATCTACAGAACAGACCTACTGCCACATTTGGCTGAAGTTTGCCTAATAAAAGTGCACAAATGCATCTGTGTTTGTCACGATGTGCGTTTGGTTTGGTAAACGTGCAGAGGCTGGTAAATATCACTGCAAAACCAGAAAAGAATGCAACTCCAGTTTGGAACTTTAAAAAACAGGTTTAAAAATCTTCCTTCACTTTTTTCACAGTTTTGTGTAAAGTGTCAGAGGAAGTTCTCTTAAAGAAGAGGTTCTCAAACTGTGGGTGAGGGTCCAAAAAAGGGGCACAGAGTGTTTCAGTGCAGTTTGCTTGGCTTTGTATTAGGTAGATCATTTTGACTTGGTCATTTTGTAAGTAGCTCGCATGCTGAAAAAGTGTGAGCACCCCTGGTCTAGTGTATTCTGATTCCTGACCTAGTCGGTGGAGAGAAACGAAAACTAGGTGGCGCCAGCCTGGGTAATATTCTACAAGTAATAATATATATATATATATATATATATATATATATCAAGGCAAGTTTATTTGTAAGCACAATTCGTACACAAAGTAATTCAAAGTGCTTTACAGAATAAGAAATACATTTAAATCATAATAAAACAAATCAAAAACATAAATAATCATGAAGATTAAAATTTTAAAAAGAGAGACATAAATTGGAGAGAAGAGTGCGGAATGAAAACCTTTCAGTTATATGTGCAGTTAACAGAATGTTTTGAGTCTGGATTAAACAGCGTCACAGAAGAGTCTGTCTCACATGTTCAGACTGTTCCAGTTTTAGCTGCATGAACCTGAAACGCTGACTCCCTTGTTTAGTCCTGACTTGGGCACCAGCAGGAGGCCGGTCCCTGAGGTTCAGAGTGCGAGATGTTCATATGACACTAACATGTCAGATGGACTTTGGTGCTTCGGCCATGGAGAGACTTGTACAAACAGAGACGCTTTAAAGTCTCTGAGGCACAGGAGCAGTGTAGAGACCTGAGCCAGGACTTATGCTATACTTCCTAGTTCGAGTAAGACCGAGCTGCAGCATTCTGGATGTCTGCAGCGTCTCACAGTCGTTTGGAGAGACCAGTGAGTAGTAAACCTACTTCTGGAAAGTTTCTCCAAGTTGATTTAGACAGATGATTGCTATGTTTTAGATGGTAAAAGGCTGCAGATGTTATTGATTTTATGTGACTGTTAAAGTTCAAGTCTGAGTCCATTAACCCCTAGATTTCTTGCCTGATTTGAAGGTTTAGAGGGAGAACTATACTGCTATGTGGACCAAACACTATATAGCTGGAGAAATATATATGCTTGACAGTATAGTATATATATATATATATATATATATATATATATATATATATATATATATATATATATATATATACAGACATGCTGGTGCTTCTGGACCGATCACAGCAAGGGATTCTGGGGTCAGGCAAAGTAGCGCCAGACAAAACTTTCCACTGGATAAAATTAGAAATCTGGTCTGACTTCCCATATAAACCTCCAACATAACACAGAGAGGTAACGATACTCAAATCTCTCAAAATACGATATTTATTAAGATATTTTATTTTGTGAAGGCAACACAATTGTGAATATGCTACTTTTACCTATTAAAATTCCTTGAAATGACTAGTACTGTCATAATCCAAAGAACTAAGATATAACTATTTCTTCTTGTAGTCTCAATTGAAAAAAAGCAAAGGATCATGGTCTATGTAGTTCCCTCTATTTTTTTAACTCATGTAAAGAGACTAGAGCCCGACCGATATATCGGCCTGGCCGATATTATCAGCCAATATGGGCACCTGGAGACATATTGGCTATCGGCCGATATGCTCGCTGATATGGGCCGATATTTCACGTGGGCATGTTATACGTCGTTATAAAGCTTAGACTCTCTACATTATGTTCATTTAATCCAATTTACAGACAGATAAATGTCCTAATATGTGGCTCCACATCAGTATTTATTTGCGGTGTAATTTGTCTGTGTCTGTGTCCGTACTGTCCCTGAACACACCACAGAGTCACGTCACTTCACTCGCGTGTGTTTGTTTACACCCGCAGCGGTGCGCAACACTGAGATTATATTCTTTTTACAGACAATCGGTTTGAGTCTCGATTAAGGACTTTTATTAGTGCAGACTTGTGATGTGAGGAGGAGCCTGTGTGAGCGGTGAGTGTTGGAAATACATCGACTTTGAAGCTAGTTTTGGTTATCTATTAGCGATTAGCTGCTGTAGCTCCTGCACATAAACAGATTGTTTTCTATTGGTCTATAGTAAAGTGACTATATTGGCCGTATATTTGTTACTGGACCAGCATTGATATGTAAATGAGCTGTGAATAGACGTGTGAATGATCCACATTTATGCATATAATTAATTACCATGGCGCGCACGTTTTTACGGCTAAAGGCTAATAGCGGTAGTTTCTTTTCTAGCTAGGAGTTATGGGTCGGTCGCGATCGAAGCGGCTCTTAGATCCGGCTCTTTGAAGTGAACGACGGGAGCATGCTTCTTATTGGGAGCCGTGTTTTTCTCACTTTTTCTCTTCAAGCCGCTTGTAGACCCGTAGTTTGACAGCAGCAGTGGCTGAAAACGAAACGTTCAGAAATCTGCGTGTGCATAGGATTAAAAAAAAAAAGTGCATATTTGGCTGCAGTTCAGCATAAAATTAATAAACCAGGACTAATCTTGGGCTCGAGTGAGGGAGAGACACTCAGTCCTGGTTCAGTTCTGGTTTAGTCCTGTTTTACACATGGTTTAAATCTGTTTTAGTCCTGGTTTAGTCCTTTTTCAGTCCTGGTTCAGTTCTGGTTTAGTCCTGCTTGCAACAAAACAATCTCAAGAGTCGCTTGGGAGCCGAAAGAGCCAGCTGCTTTAGTGAGCCTGAGCCAAAAGAGCCGGTTCTCCAAAAAAAAAAAAAAAAAACTGGAATAGCCATCACTAGTAGCTAGAATGTGATGCAAAAATGCCATTAGGCCAATCTACTGTCTGTAAATATGACGTAAAGAGTCAGAATAACAATAAATGTTGCCTAAATAAACCCAATTTAGAATTACTAGAGCCAAACCTAAACAATTCAAGATTTACAGTGAATTTTTACATCACAAAAATATATCGGCGATTATATCGGCTATCGGCAGCGCCAACTCCCATTATATCAGTTTCATATCGGCCACAACAAAATCCATATCGGTCAGGCTCTAAAAGAGATTTTCAATTTGACATATTGTGACAGCCTTCGATATTATTGTGAGACTTTTGACAATACGATATCACGATATATGTTATTGTTACATCCCTAATAACACATGGTCTGACTTGTCATTGTGTAAGGCCTTTAATCTTGTCTCCCTCTTCCATCCTGTTCATGTTTGTCTGTGTGGTGCTGGGCAGAGTCTTACCTGGAGCCTGAAGCCTTTTCTACACTCAACACTCACCTGCTCCAGTATAAAAGGCCTCACCACTCTTCCACTCATCTCCAGATCAATAGTCATATCTTGTGGTACACTTGGCTCTAAAAACCGGAATTTTGTGATATACCGTTACCTACCAGCTCCAGGTCCGTCTCCAGCTGCCGACTCAGCCTTTGTCTCACCTCTACCCTGCTCCTCCTGCTCATTTTTTGTAAATCTTGTGTCTACGTTCGGGGTTTTTGCCTCCAGTCATTAAGACACATTGACAAATAATAGTAGCATAATAGTTGATAATATTCTTACGTTCAGTCTGAGGTTGTTGGTCCACTGCCCGATGACCCTGTAGCCGGGGTGGGTGTGGTTCGTCATCTGAAACTGGAAAATGTCATAGCGGCCCGGGGCGTCTCCATTCTCATTGAACAGCACTCCGGTCCCTGCACTGCCTGTGGACAGAGAGAGACTTAAAGAGAAAGAAATACTCAAGTACAAGTAGCACTATCACATAAAAAAAAATACTTACTAATACGTATTGAAGTACCTGAGTAAAATGTAAAAGCACACATTTTGAGATCTTCGGTGTACTGATTTTGAGACAAATTTGTTCTGAATTCTGTTTAACAAAAAAAAAAAAAAAAAAAAAAAAGATTTTTTTTTTTTCTTATATTTGTATATTTTTGTTTGCTCAAACTTCAGATATGTTAGAAATACACCCTTCAGACTTTTCAGCAGTTCTCAAACTATAATAAAAATACTTTTACTTTTCACTCCAGTTCAAAATGTAGTGGAGTAGAAAGTACAGTCACCTGATCTCAGATTTAGTGAAGTAAAAGTAAAAAGTATCTACTTTAAAATCTTCTTAAGTAAAGTACTGATACCTAAAAATGTACATTACTTTACTACTTTTTCTTTGTCACGTTCCACCACTGAAGAGGAGGTATTACTCTTCCAGGGTGTATTAACTGCTAAACTGCTCATATCCCAGCAACAGCACCAGTGTTTTGAGTTTAAACGTGCAATATGTAACTTTTCTGGTGGGGAATTTGCCATTTATTTGTCTCTATAGGGAGTTGTTGCTTTGTGTTAAATGTTCCACAGTGTGACATAAAAAATATCTGTCCTACATGTGTTTTAAATGATACAAAATAAGTTGAAAAACATGCACTGTTACTCTGAGTGGCATCGCCTCTCCATAGATCTGACCTGTCACTAGCCTTATTGCTTACTTGTCTCCAGTGTTGGGGAGTAACAGATTACATGTACCGGAGTTACGTAATCAGAGTACAAATTATGACCTGTATTCAGTTACAGTTACTGTATCAGTGAGTGGCAAGTAGATTACAGTTACTTGGTTGAAATAAATAAACTACACAGAGGTATTTTGCTGTTTTAATATTTTAGGCTATATCCCTTTTATTTTTTTGGTAATTCCACTCATGGCCGAACATTAAACCAGGTCTAAACCCAGGTCTAAAGCAGGTCTAAAACCTGTTCTAAAACCAGGTCTAAAACCAGGTCTAAACCAGGTCTAAAACCTGTTCTAAAACCAGGTCTAAAACCAGGTCTAAACCCAGGTCTAAACCAGGTCTAAAACCTGTTCTAAAACCAGGTCTAAAGCAGGTCTAAAACCAGGTCTAAAACCAGGTCTAAACCCAGGTCTAAGCCAGGCCTAAACCAGGTCTAAAACCAGGTCTAAAACAGGTCTAAAGCAGGTCTAAAGCAGGTCTAAAACCTGTTCTAAAACCAGGTCTAAACCCAGGTCTAAGCCAGGCCTAAACCAGGTCTAAAACCAGGTCTAAAACAGGTCTAAACCAGGTCTAAAACAGGTCTAAAACCAGGTCTAAAGCAGGTCTAAAACCTGTTCTAAAACCAGGTCTAAACCCAGGTCTAAACCAGGTCTAAAACCAGGTCTAAAACCAGGTCTAAACCAGGTCTAAAACCAGGTCTAAACCAGGTCTAAACCAGGTCTAAACCAGGTCTAAAACAGGTCTAAAACAGGTCTAAAACCAGGTCTAAGCCAGGCCTAAACCAGGTCTAAAACAGGTCTAAAACCAGGTCTAAACCAGGTCTAAAACCAGGTCTAAACCCAGGTCTAAACCAGGTCTAAACCAGGTCTAAAACCAGGTCTAAAACCAAGTCTAAAACCAGGTCTAAACCAGGTCTAAAACCAGGTCTAAACCAGGTCTAAAACCAGGTCTAAGCCAGGCCTAAACCAGGTCTAAAACCTGTTCTAAAACCAGGTCTAAAGCAGGTCTAAAACCAGGTCTAAAACCAGGTCTAAACCCAGGTCTAAACCAGGCCTAAACCAGTTCTAAACCAGGTCTAAAACAGGTCTAAACCAGGTCTAAAGCAGGTCTAAAACCTGTTCTAAAACCAGGTCTAAACCCAGGTCTAAGCCAGGCCTAAACCAGGTCTAAAACCAGGTCTAAAACCAGGTCTAAACCAGGTCTAAACCAGGTCTAAACCAGGTCTAAACCAGGTCTAAACCAGGTCTAAACCAGGTCTAAAACAGGTCTAAAACCAGGTCTAAGCCAGGCCTAAACCAGGTCTAAAACAGGTCTAAAACAGGTCTAAACCAGGTCTAAACCAGGTCTAAAACCAGGTCTAAACCAGGTCTAAAACAGGTCTAAAACCAGGTCTAAACCCAGGTCTAAACCAGGTCTAAAACCAGGTCTAAAACCAGGTCTAAACCAGGTCTAAACCAGGTCTAAAACAGGTCTAAACCAGGTCTAAACCAGGTCTAAAACCAGGTCTAAACCCAGGTCTAAACCAGGTCTAAACAGGTCTAAAACCAGGTCTAAACCAGGTCTAAACCAGGTCTAAACCAGGTCTAAAACCAGGTCTAAACCAGGTCTAAAACCAGGTCTAAAACCAGGTCTAAACCAGGCCTAAACCAGGTCTAAAACAGGTCTAAAACCAGGTCTAAACCCAGGTCCAAACCAGATCTAAACCTGGTCTAAACCTGGTCTAAAACCAGGTCTAAAACCAGGTGTAAACCAGGTCTAAAGTATTCAGATTATGTTACTCACTTTAAGTAATTTAATGGATTACGTTACAAACTACATTTTGGGGTATGTAATCTGTAATCTGTAATCTGTAGGGGATTACATTTTAAAAGTCACCTTCCCAACACTGCTTGTCTCTATGACGATATATACGTTTAATGGCGTGAAAGCAATTACGTGTGGACAGTAAGTGATGTACTCGCCATCACAAAAGTTACATAGTGTTTTATTAATGCAAGATCTTTTTTTTTTTTTAGGATTTTCTGCAGCGATAAAAGTTACAGAATGTTTATTATGAATTAAAAATACAATTTCTGTAGGGACATGGGGGCCCAAAAATAAAACCCTCTTTCCTTTAATTTATATTGTAGGGGGGCCACACGAGATTTCTGGCCCTGGACCCTCAAATTTATGTCGACGGCCCTGCAAATTACTGTATTATTTTTGTAGTAAATCTGTGAATGCATCTAAAAACTTTCCTTTGAGCAAAACTGCATCACTCACACAGTTAGTTTTATCTTGGACAGGGACACACAGCAGTTTAACAGTTTAAAATAGTTAGCTTCTCCGATGCTAAAGGCAAAGACTCGAGTGTCAGGGCCAGATGTGTGCGTGAATAATTCACCACACGCACCACAGCGAACATGTAAAGTGCATTAACTTATAACGGAGAGGAACCGACTTCACAACCAATCACAATCAAACTGGAGAGGGGAAGAGAGAGAGGAGAGAAGGAGAGAGGAGAGGAAAGAAGATGGGGAAGAGAGAAAAGAGAAGAGAAGCAGATGGGGAAAAGAGAGAGAGAGGAGAGAAGAAGTAATGGGAAAGAGGAGAGGAGCGAGAGGATCTAAGCACTTTCTTCTGAGTCAAAGTGAAGACTCCCTGCAGATTTAATTTGAAGTTGTACAAATTTATTTAAAAACTGCGTTGTTGCACTGATGATATTTTAATGTATGTATGATTTATGTAGCATTTATTTAAAGCAACACAGCGTAACTTTCTGGAAGTGGCAAGGCACCTGCGTGATTACATGGAAATTGAATGTTCAAATCAGCCTCTCAAATCCAGCTTTTTCAGTTCTGATACCGATTTCGATTCTATGGCTATAAGTCAGGGGTGCTCACACTTTTTCAGCATGTGAGCTACTTACAAAATGACCAAGTCAAAATGATCTACCTAATACAAAGCCAAACAAACTGCACTGAAACACTCTGTGCCCCTTTTTTGGACCCTCACCCACAGTTTGAGAACCCCTTCTTTAAGAGAACTTCCTCTGGCACTTTACACAAAACTGTGAAAAAAGTGAAGGAAGATTTTTAAACCTGTTTTTTTAAAGTTCCAAACTGGAGTTGCATTCTTTTCTGGTTTTGCAGTGATATTTACCAGCCTCTGCACATTTACCAAACCAAACGCACATCGTGACAAACACAGATGCATTTGTGCACTTTTGTTAGACAAACTTCAGCCAAATGTGGCAGTAGGTCTGTTCTGTAGATCTGCTCTATGCTGTAGACCTGCTTTGTGCCAACACTGGAACACAAATTTAGACTGGTTTTTGCTTCACGTTTGGTCTTGCTCTTCTAATCAGCCGCACTGTGGGAGGGGCTTGTGTTCGCTGTACGCAGGAAGGAGCGAGAGCGTGAAAAGGCGAGGGGCGGCGTGCTGACGTGAGGCAGATGAACAGGTAGGATGTTTAGGAAGTTGAACCTGCCCTGTGATGCACGCTGGTACACGAGGGCACACGCTGTTGCAGACGAGCCGTGCATAGGGAGCGTGTGTGTGTTTGTGATGCGCCGTAGAGTCTCCGCGGGTTTCAAATGAGCGCACAGGCTGAACTGAGACGCCCACACACTCCTGCACCCGCTACAAGTTTATTACCAACAGCAGCGGCCGTAATGAAATACAGTATGATTGCACTTGTTGAGTGTCAGACCTCGCGTGAGAGACAAGACCGAGTCCAAACGTCATCGAGTCAGAGACGAGTACTAAGACACGGCGATCTACCCACACGACCTTAGCGATCGACTGGTAGATCGCAATCGACGTATTGGGCACCCCTGATATAAGTGATCCAAATGTGTTCTGTAATTGTTGTATATTTCTAAAGTAACCACAGAGCAGCTTTGTATAAACAGAAGTCCAAAGATTAATAGGTTTTCAGGCCAAATACAGCCGGTGGATACCTGAACCAACAGACCTTTTTCACAACGGCCAGAAGATGTAGGGTAAACGTAATTCCAAGTCAATGCTTTCCTATGGCAAAATATCTGTGGAAATGTTTCGTGTATTTTCCACCAGCATCATAAATCTGCCCCATCACCAAATTTTCATCCAACAAGGTCGACAAAGGACATGATCTGTCCATGAAGAATATATCCACAACTATCAAGGTGAGAAAGATAAAAAAGTAAAGCCAAAAAACTTTTATTTTTCATTGCGGC